TATAATGCTAATTTGAACATGCAAATATGTATTAAGAGGATGAAGGAAGAAAGAGGGAGAAGATGGAGGAATAAAGAGGGCTAGGTGGGGGCAACGACAGATGAAATGAAGAGGAAGAAGAAATTGGGATGTGGGGGGAACGACAGATGGAAGAAAGAGGGAGTAAAAAAAAGGGTTGGTGGACTTTTGAGGGGGTGGGGGATTTGAATTGTTAATGGATCATTAATTAAGGAGTTTAAATTTAAGATAATTATGAAATACCATATCTAAGGGATTTGTGTATCTGATTAAATATTTCAAAATATATAGTTTAAATATTAAAAGTGGTAGTATGTGTAATTGTTTTAAACTAAAGGTAAATATAGTATATATGGTAGGGATGTATGTGTAGTTAGGTAGTTTTTCCATAAATTATTGTGAATAAATTGGGCTTTAGCAGGCCCAAAACTTGTTCAGTTTAGTCCCTTTGGACTGCTACTACTACTTCATTTTGGGCTTTTGACCCGTTTGGCTTGTATTGTATACAGTTTCTGTATATAATACACACGGAGTGTATATTCCCTGTTTTCCCTATATATGGCCAGTGTATAGGTCGTATACAGCCTATTTTTGGTCTTCAAATCTGTATATTAGCTTCCCCGTTTTCTCTTTCACCAGATTCATCATCTTCCTTTTGCACTTGACCACGATAAGGCTGACTCGAAAAAATTGTTGGGCAGAAATGCTTGAAAGGAATCCAACGGACTCATATAGGGAAATCATACAGAGAAAGAGAAAAGGAATGTGCATATATATATAGGACTCTTTGGATGATAAAATAAAATGAGATAGTAGGTTTAAGATTATTCAAATAAAAACGTACTAATTACATATGAAAAGAAACATTGTCATATGATGAAATGAAATTAAGAAAGGAATCACAAGTACTACAACTAAGAAAGTTTAACCAAGATGTGCTGAAAAAAATATATCATCTAATCGTCCACAATGACTCACATATCACAAAATCCAAAATACTCGAATGAATTCAAACGAAGCATTATATTTGGGAATAAGGCACTCTAATTATCAAAGGCTATAAAATCTGATTATATATATAATATATGTTATAATTAACCTTAATAATTTTGGAAGTAAATCATGGAAAGGCAGTCATTTAAGTAATGAAAGAAACCACTCAACAACATGAAAAGAAAAGCCATTCCATTTCGACAAAAGACCCACACCCAAGTTCCATAGCTTTTGGTTCGCTATCACGATCATGATTTTCCTACCCCCAGAGGGAAAGGTACTTCCCTTTTGGGCCGGTTGTGGGCGAGGAGGGATTCGAACCCCCGACACCGTGGTTCGTAGCCACATGCTCTAATCCACTGAGCTACAGGCCCCACCCCATCTCCACTGGATCTGTTCCACACATAATAACTCTTGGGAGAGAATTCCAAGAGTCGCTATAACATCCATTGGTCCTATGGCGTGCAATTATCATCTCGTTGCAATCTATGGCTAGTCAGCTAGGAGATAGCGGTTAAACTCACTTCACTAGCATCATAAATAAGGAGTAGACTTGTTGCAATCTAGTTATTATACGGAGCAAAAACTACAAGTGTTCATTATGTACAACTAATAGAATGAGTTACATAAAAAACGGCCATACGCTAACAGCCATAATAAACTAAAAGTCAGTGTAGCTCCCAACTCACCAACGAATGGTATGTAACATACATCCACCCAAATACCAAAGCAGGAAAAAAAGATCTTACTACCAAAACTATAGCTGCTCTTCATTCTGCCCAAATGAGGCATCTGCAAACAGCTTGCACCGCCATCAATGGCTCCCTTTGTTGTCTAACCAGCTCTGCAAGCTATACAAGGCTTCTGCAGAGAAGCTGCAGCTCCTTAATCTCCTTTGACGCATTGGTGATAACTCTTGATGATCAGGGGAAGTAAAGCATACAAGTGAGATTGTCAAATGTATTGAGCCGCAAGGCCTCCATGACAAGGTCCTTGGCACACAGTTCAGGATCATCATGCCGTCTTTATCCCTCGACGCACTAAACTAACTGCTTGTTGACTAGACAAGACATCCCAGATTCAAGCTAATAAGGAATTCATCATCCTCTGTCAGAACTATCTGTCGAAATTCTGGCTCTGCAATCAGAGGAGAGGCAGAGCCACGAGGCAGCTTCATGTCCCAGTCCCCCAAGGTGGGCTGATAGTATACATTAAGATAGCCATCATCAATAAATCCACCTTCAACACGCCTCCTCTCTGATGGATAATTTAGTCTGGTCTTGAGACATGTCAATTGACATTACGGCAAAGTACTGCTCGGCAGTCTCCTGCATTTGCCACCATTAATAGCCTAAAACACAACAGAGTATCAGTTAGATAACAAGAATACAAATATATGCACAAAGCTAAGCAATTGTTCCATTGAACTACCAGGTCTGACTCTAATGCTCGCCCCCCTCAGCAACTTCGTTGTAAAATCAATATTTACGGTACAAAAACTTGGTGAAACAAAGTTTAGCAAATTCATAGACATGGACCATTTTCTCTCTCTCATATATCAAGTAGCATCCTTAGGTAAGGCTAAAGTAACTTATCACATGCACTTGGGTAGTTGGATATTCAATACCATTAGTTGTGCGTCGTCACGTACACCATATTTCTACAGGACAGAGAAGTCGTTACTTGTTTATAAGTATGAATCACGATCTTACCTTCCCAACACAAAAGTTGTCAGTGCAGTGGTTCCAAAAGAATTGCTAACATTGCAGTCACCGTTCCCCGAGGCCCACCCCCCACCTCCAGATCCTCGAGTCGCCGTTCACCGAGGCCCTAATCCCCGGACCTCGAGGCGCCGTTCCCCGAGGCCCTCATCCCAGGACCTCGAGGCCCTCATCCCCGGACCTC